TTTATAAGGTTTACAAGTTATTTGTAACTTGTAAAACCTTTTAAAATACATTGTAAAACCTTACAAAACACTTGTAAATACTCCGTAAAACCTTTAAAATACGTTGTAAATATTTCCCGCCAAAAAAATTGCGGAATCACTTTTCCCGCAAAAAAATTTTTTGGCGGGAAAAATTTTACGGGAAAATTTACAAGGTATTTAAAGGTTTTACAAGTGTTTTGGCGGAAAAATTGCGGGATCACTTTTCCCGCCAAAAAATATTTTGTATTTTGTGGACCTAATTTTGTTTCAAATAAGGGTAAAATGGTCATTTAAAATTAAAAGAGGGCAAACTTAAAAATGGACTTTCAAATGGGGCATTTTTGAAAAGGGGTATTGAAAAAGGGGCATTTTTAACAATTTCTCAAAAAAATAATAATAATAATAAAATTTTTGCTAATGCAAAAAAAAAGGGACAAAAATCAAATGTTTCATTATGTATAAAAAACAAGAAAAAGAGATGCGGCGTGAGAGATTATCTGGCTGTCAGTTTGGTGACTACAAAGTACTTGAAATATTATTTGTAAAAAACTTTAATTGTTAAATTTAAAATATATTAAAATGTGTTGAATTTATTATACTATAAGACTTACATACCAAAATGACGAGATGTTAAATTCATTGGCATGTTAAATTCATTGGCATTCACGTATTTAAAGTCTAACACTTAAGTTTGAAAATATTCAACACGTTTTCACGTATTTTAAATTTAACATTTCTGGTTTTTCACAAATGATATTTAATTAAATATTTTTTATTTCTAGTTAAAAACCAAAAATATCTACTTAAAATATCATTTGTGAAAAACAATAAATGTAAAATTTAAAATACGTGAAAACGTGTTGAATTTATGACACCACAAGACTTACAGAGCAAAAGGACGGGATGCTAAACCAGATTTGTTTTCACGTATTTTAAATTTAACACTTAAGTTTGAAAACATTTTTTATTAAAAATATTATGTATAGTAAAAACTTGTGGTTAGAAATAAAAAATATTTAATTAAATATCATTTGTGAAAACCATAAATGTTAAATTTAAAATACGTGAAAACGTGTTGAATTTATGACACCACAAGACTTACAGACCAAAAGGACGGGATGCTAATCCTGATTTGTTTTCACGTATTTTAAATTTAACACTTAAGTTTGAAAATATTTTTTTATTAAAAATATTATGTATAGTAAAAACTTGTGGTTAGAAATAAAAAATATTTAATTAAATATCATTTGTGAAAACCATAAATGTTAAATTTAAAATACGTGAAAACGTGTTGAATTTATGACACCACAAGACTTACGGACCAAAAGGACGGGATGCTAAACCCGATTTGTTTTCACGTATTTTAAATTTAACACTTAAGTTTGAAAACATTTTTTTATTAAAAATATTATGTATAGTAAAAACTTGTGGTTAGAAATAAAAAATATTTAATTAAATATCATTTGTGAAAAACCATAAATGTTAAATTTAAAATACGTGAAAACGTGTTGAATTTATGACACCACAAGACTTACGGACCAAAAGGACGGGATGCTAAACCCGATTTGTTTTCACGTATTTTAAATTTAACACTTAAGTTTGAAAACATTTTTTTATTAAAAATATTATGTATAGTAAAAACTTGTGGTTAGAAATAAAAAATATTTAATTAAATATCATTTGTGAAAAACCATAAATGTTAAATTCAAAATACGTGAAAACGTGTTGAATTTATGACACCACCAGACTTACGGACCAAAAGGACGGAATGCTAAACCCGATTTGTTTTCACGTATTTTAAATTTAACACTTACGTTTGAAAATATTTTTTTATTAAAAATATTATGTATAGTAAAAACTTGTGGTTAGAAATAAAAAATATTTAATTAAATATCATTTGTGAAAAACCATAAATGTTAAATTTAAAATACGTGAAAACGTGTTGAATTTATGACACCACAAGACTTACAGACCAAAAGGACGGGATGCTAAACCTGATTTGTTTTCACTTATTTTAAATTTAACACTTAAGTTTGAAAATATTATGTATAGTAAAAACTTGTGGTTAGAAATAAAAAATATTTAATTACATATTATTTGTGAAAAACCATAAATGTTAAATTTAAAATACGTGAAAACTTGTTGAATTTATGACACCACAAGACTTATGGACCAAAAGGACGGGATGCTAAATCTGGTTTGTTTTCACGTATTTTAAATTTAACACTTAAGTTTGAAAACATTTTTTAATAAAAATATTATGTATAGTAAGAACTTGTAGTTAAAAACCAAAAATATCTACTTAAAATATCATTTGTGAAAAACCATAAATGTGAAAGTTAAAATACGCGAAAAGGTGTTGAATTTATGACACCACAAGACTTACGGACTAAAAAGACGGAATGCTTAACCCAATTTTTTTCACGTATTTTAAATTTAACACTTAAGTTTGAAAATATTTTTTTTAAAAAAATATTATGTATAGTAAAAACTTGTGGTTAGAAATAAAAAATATTTAATTAAATATTATTTGTGAAAAACCATAAATGTTAATTTAAAATACGTGAAAACGTGTTGAATTTATGACACCACAAGACTTACGGACCAAAAGGACGGGATGCTAAACCCGATTTGTTTTCACGTATTTTAAATTTAACACTTAAGTTTGAAAACATTTTTTTATTAAAAATATTATGTATAGTAAAAACTTGTGGTTAGAAATAAAAAATATTTAATTAAATATCATTTGTGAAAAACCATAAATGTTAAATTTAAAATACGTGAAAACGTGTTGAATTTATGACACCACAAGACTTACGGACCAAAAGGACGGGATGCTAAACCCGATTTGTTTTCACGTATTTTAAATTTAACACTTAAGTTTGAAAACATTTTTTTATTAAAAATATTATGTATAGTAAAAACTTGTGGTTAGAAATAAAAAATATTTAATTAAATATCATTTGTGAAAAACCATAAATGTTAAATTCAAAATACGTGAAAACGTGTTGAATTTATGACACCACCAGACTTACGGACCAAAAGGACGGAATGCTAAACCCGATTTGTTTTCACGTATTTTAAATTTAACACTTACGTTTGAAAATATTTTTTTATTAAAAATATTATGTATAGTAAAAACTTGTGGTTAGAAATAAAAAATATTTAATTAAATATCATTTGTGAAAAACCATAAGAAATCGATCGTGATTTAGACAGAAGATGAGAGAGGATTGATGGAGATCATCGTTCAATCACTGAAACGATATATATGCAGAGATCATCATCATCGGATTTTACAGTCTCTGTTTAAAAGACATTCGCTCGAGAAGAAGAAGAAGAAGCAAGAAATCGAGAGTTATGATCTGTTTTGTATTTGAATGTCTATAATATTTATACATTAATTCACCGGAGATCTCAGCTCTTTTTCTGCAATGGCAATGGGTTTTGATTTCAATGAGATGAATAAAACGAAGAAAACTTTGATTGGACTTGGCTTAGGACAAATCCTCTCACTTCTATGTACTTCTATTGCCTTCACATCCTCTGAGCTCGCCAGAAAAGGTTTTACAGTTTCTTTTTTTTTTATGCTTTAAGATTCGATCATATAGATTTATCATCTTTATGAAGTTTTTTCTGTTACTTCCTTTTAGGTTTATACTTTCATTGGTTTACAAATTTGAATTCTCTTAGGAATAAATGCTCCAACATCACAAACCTTCCTCAGTTATACATTACTGGCAGTCGTCTATGGAGGTATCGTGATGTATCGAAGACCAACAATTAAGGTCAGTATTGAATTTGGTTACACTTTGTGTTACTGCTAATTTCTCATTGGTGTAATGAGAGTGTTTTCAAGATTACACTATTGAGTGCTTATAACGTAAGTGGAAAGTGTTACTAACATCTTCAATGCAAAAACTGTTGTAGGGGAAGTGGTATCACTACTTCCTCCTTGCCTTAGTTGACGTGGAAGGCAATTTTCTTGGTGAGTTTCTTATTGATACAGTCTTCGTTGGCTTCTTGAGCACTGATCTGAAGTGATTTTGGAGAGAGTTTTCTTAGAAAATGTATATACTTCCATCACATTCTGGTTGCTGTTGTAGTGAGATTTTGAATATAACTCCATTATTTCTTTGGTTTCACAGTGGTGAAGGCGAATCAGTACACATCGATAACGAGTATCATGCTACTGGATTGCTGGGCGATCCCTTGTGTGTTGGTCTTAACTTGGATTTTCCTGCAAACAAAATACAGATTGATGAAGATCAGTGGTGTGTTTATCTGTATTGCTGGTGTTGTCATGGTACTCTTCTCTGACGTTCACGCAGGAAGTAGAGCAGGTAAATGCTAGAAACTTGAACGCAATTAAAACTCGATCTAAGCATATTATGATGGTGGCTTTTTCAGGAGGAAGTAATCCTGTTAAAGGAGATTTTCTTGTTCTAGCTGGAGCAACTTTATATGCTGTCAGTAATACCACCGAGGTAAGCAAGTCCACAACAAACAAAATGTTGTTATATCGCGCAAAAATGTAAGATTTATTGTTCCTTTGTTATAGGAGTTCCTTGTAAAGAATGCAGACACAGTTGAGTTGATGACCTTCATGGGACTTTTTGGAGCCATTATTAGTGCTATTCAGGTGTATCCTTTTGACAGCAAAGCTAAGCTATGACTTCTTATGTTTCTTAGAGTTATATGCACATTCTCCTTGACGTTCCTTGACTTGACTATAGAGCCATATTTGAACAAGGTGAGCTCAAAGCTATTCTCTGGTCAGCTGATGCAGTAAATATCCCTTTCCCTTGAAATCTATAGAAAATTAGAAACCAAAGACTTTTCTTTTATGAGTCCAAAGTTTATCGTTTCTACATTTTTGCGGTTTCAGATTTTCCTTTTCCTTAGATTCGCAATCACGATGTTTCTCTTCTACTCACTACTACCGGTTTTACTGAGGGTAATATGATCTAAACCCACCTTTTACTCTGTTTTCATGCAATTGCCTCTGCAACATATTAACATCTTTTGTGATATCATCTTCTCAGACCAATGGTTCAACAATGTTCACCCTCTCATTGCTCACATCAGACATGTGGGCAGTTTTGACCCGCATTTTCGCATACCACGAGAAGGTTATAGATCTAACATTCTATAAACTCTTACATTTCAGTCTGTATATATAATCCTACAAACGAAATCAAGTAACCATGTATGTAACTTAATTTCAGGTGGATTGGCTCTACTACTTGGCATTTGCTACAACAGCTATAGGACTAATCATATACTCAATGTACACTCTTTCCCTTACTCCAATATATGTTCTACACTCATGGCTTAAACAGTAACACAATCCATGGTTGGTTTTTTTTCTCATATATTCTCAGGAAGGAGAAAGATGAGGAAGAAGAAAGAGAGGAGCAGAGGAAGAAGCTGTTGGATGAGATTGAGGAGGCAGGTGAAACACTTCCAGACAGCCTTATAGTTGCTTCCACCGGAACCCTAACCAAAGGGCTATGAGATATTAGAGTTTTGTATCATGTTTGAATATGACTGGATGTTTCAGCTTATTTAACAACACCAACGTGAGTAATTCGTGTACCAAACCAAATCAAAACCCTATGGTTGTCTTCTCGAAAAGCTCCATCTCCATAGATGTCTTCTTGCCTCAACTTTTATTCGTCTTTCCGAATCAAATTTGTGTTCCTTGTAACGGAGGCAACAAATCAATCTCCCTCTGTTTTTTAAATTTCTAATTCTATCCCCATATTCTTTGCTAATTACATTTAAGGCATCAAATTAATTATATTTAAAATTTAACCCAAAAGAAAAAAAATAGTCAACGATTTGGACCGGCGACCTACTACACTGTTTGTAGAATTAAAAAAGACTAATAGCTTGTCACTCTCCTCTCTGAATCTGATGATCCATTGAATTGTTGTTATGCATTCACCTAATAATATCTCACCGAGCTAGGGTTTGTTTCTCTCCGTTATTATTGGATTTGATTGGAGTAAGAAAACAAGAATGGTGTGTTTCAATTTCAATGGGATTAAGTCGAAGAAGACTCTCATTGGACTTGGATTGGGACAGATCATTTCGCTTTTCTCTACTCTGATTTCGTTTACTGCGTCTGAGATCGCCAGAAAAGGTTTCACCTTTTTTAAAACCCTTTGTTTTATACATTCTTTGGCTTTACAAAATTTGTTTTTTTTTTTTTTTTTAGGGATTAGTGCTCCAACATCTCAGTCGTTTCTAGGTTATGTGTCACTGGCACTTGTCTATGGAGGTATCATGCTCTATCGAAGATCCACAATCAAAGTTAGTATTGAAATTCTCATCTTGGGAACATTTGATTCACTCTGTGTTATTGCTTCCTCTTGGGTGAATAAATGATCATTGTAGTGTGAGTTTTGTATATTTGTAGGGAAACAACAAAATGTAATCAGATTTGTGTACTGGAGGTTTCATCATTGAGTGCCAATTCAATATTGCTAACATCTTCAATTCAATATTGCTAACATCTTCAATTCAATATTGCTAACATCTTCAATTCAATATTGTTGTAGGTGAAGTGGTATAACTATTTCCTCCTTGCTTTTGTTGATGTGGAGGCAAACTTTCTTGGTGAGAGAAAGAACTCTTCTTTTGCCTCTGTCTTTAGCTTGAGCACTGATTTCATGATAAGCTAATTCGATCTTGGAGAGTACTTTCTTTGAAATGTGATACTTTAAGCTTGACCAGCCCATGTTACAATGAAAATAACAAGTTATATATATCCTGTTTTGTGTTGAGTATCATGAGTTTTCGAATCATCTCCCTTTCTTTCACAGTTGTGAAGGCATATCAAAACACATCCATGACGAGTATCATGCTACTGGATTGCTGGGCAATCCCTTGCGTTTTGGTCTTCACTTGGGTTTTCCTGAGAACAAAATACAGGTTGATGAAGACCAGTGGTGTGTTTATATGCATTATTGGTGTTGTCATGGTAGTTTTCTCAGACGTCCATGCAGGCGATCGAGCTGGTAATTATTAGTTCTCTTTCTCTTCACTCATCAAATGGCCTGCAAGTAAACACTCTCATGCAGTCATGTAGGCCCAATAAGTTTGATTTAAGCATATTTATGGTGGATTTTAGGTGGAAGTAATCCTGTCAAAGGAGATTTTCTTGTTATAGCTGGAGCGTCCTTGTATGCTGTCAGTAATGTCACTGAGGTACGCAAGTATCTAATCACATACTGGAAAGAAGATGTGTTATTTTATCCCAAATCGGTACTTTAATGAAAGTTAGTGTGCTTGTAATTGTAGTCTCCCTGTTTCTCCGTTATAGGAGTACCTAGTGAAGAGTGCAGACATGATTGAGCTCATGTCCTTTTTGGGCCTTTTCGGCGCAATTATTGCTGCCATCCAGATGTATCCTTCAAACAACAAGGCTATGAATTTTATTATGTTTCTTAAACTTATATGAACATTTTCAGCTGCCATGATATTTCCTGACTTGTCCATAGAGGCATATTTGAACGTGGTACTCTCAAAGCTATTCACTGGTCAACTGAGGCGGTAAGCATGCTGCTACACTCCCTTTGAACCTCTGCAAATAGAATGACTTCTTTTGAAAAATTCATTTATACTATTTGTGGTTCCAGATTTTGCTTTACCTTGGAGTCGCACTCGCGCTATTTATGTTTTACTCATTAATCACAGTCTTAATCATGGTATGAGACAAAACTGAAACCATATGATCAATACTCTCTTTTTTCCATGTTAATGCCTCTGAACATATAACATTCTTTTGAAATATGATCTTCTCTCAGACCAATGGTGCAACAATGTTCAACCTCTCGTTGCTCACATCAGACATGTGGGCTGTTTTGATCCGCACTTTTGGTTACCATGAGAAGGTCTGCTCACTTTGTATATCAAACATCAGGAAACTCTTACATTTTCTATCTGTAGAAAGCAGCTAATGATGTTAATACCAGGTTGATTGGCTCTACTTCTTGGCATTTGCTACTACAGCTACTGGACTGATCGTATACTCCATGTACAGTCTTTTTTAATCTTTCTTCAAGTATAATATCTGTTCTGAAAACAAGGCTTCCTCAAGTACAATAAACAATCCATCAATGAACTTTATTATTCTTCTCCATTTTTCCCATTTTGTATCTTTCTCAGGAAGGAGAAAGATCAAGAGGAACACAGAACTGGAAAAGTGGTCGACGAGGAGGCTATGCAGAGGAAGTTGTTAGATGAGGATGATGAGCCGGGAACCTAACCACACAGGTTTTTGTCAATGTCATTGACTGTGTGATATTATATCATTGCATCCTGCAAAAAGAACTTTTGAGTGGAGAAAAGTAAGGAATTTATCCCCAACAATTGGTAACTGTAAAGAGAGAGAAAAATGGCTTTATTTGATCTTGATTGTAAAAACAAATGAAGATTTACCGTGTAAGAACAACATTCGACTTGTTAGAGAAGTTACTTCAAATGTATCAACTTCTCTTTATTCTTAGGTTTAATTTATTGATTATTCTACTTACTACTACAATGTAAGAGGCTGCATCTCCACAACTCTAGTACGGTGACTTGAAAGCTCATCGTTATGTACACATACGTCAGAGCAAAGAAGTTGTGTAGTACCAGACAGATCCAGTGGCTCAACAGCTCCTTCTCTGTTTACTTGTTTCTTGGTTTCGTGATTTTGATCAGTAACCAGGTTTTTAACGATATACATCATTCAAACTCTCGTCATGAGACTTCAGTTTCCTTCTGCGTGAACGAGGGAACAGTAGCTGGTGGATCTTCTTCTCTGCTGCCATTTCTGTTGTAGCCTGTCACAAACAATGATGAGAAAAGCATTAGCGTATCAAATTGTCCTTATGATTCTGTTTTCTTGTTGAAAAAAGGTGTATCTTTGTTTGATGTTTTAGTGTGAGGATTCTCTCACCCTGGTTTTGAAAGGGAAACGGTGAGTTTGGACTTGTGCACCTGCGAAAACTCTCACATCCATACCGAGACTATCAACACTGATCAGGTTAGCTTCCTGCATGAGATTACCACAAAGTAGCAAGACTGGGTTACAAAATGTGGTAGATAAGTCAACCGGAACTGTACAACGCTATCACTATTTGAGATCAGGCGTATTCCAGATTATATTCAGAAACTGAGACATTGATACAATACCTCTGCATGAAGACCCTTCTTTTTGCAGAGAGCTTTAAGGGCAATGCTCGAGTTAATCCCCCTGTTATTGAAGCGCTCTATGATTGCAGACATAGAGTGCACTAGAATGTCTGGTTCGGCATCTTGAAAATCTTGCAAACTTATAGAAGACTGAAAATAGTCAAAGAATCTAGACATCAACTCACGGTGAGAAAGTGCAAAATTTTTTTTTAAACAATGAGAGTTTTAATGTAAGTCTACGCTCGCAAAGCAGCTATTCATATGTTAGCTATCTTTTCAAATACTTCTGACATACCTCTGCTCCATAGAGGGATAGTAGCTCTATTCCCACAATCTCTAGTCTATATAGACTTGAACTCATATCGTTCTCGTCCTGTCTGGAACTAGTGTTTGGATTATCATCACCTGACAATAAATATCCAAAAGTGAGGTTCCCGTATATAGTTCATCGCATCTTTTAAGTTTTTTTTTTTGGTTTTAAATGGGTATAAAGTCAAAAAAGCATTCTGAGGCAAAGGAAATATGAAAGGACCTTGAACCTCCCAGCTATAGTCATCTCTATCTTCCGAGAGAAATAATCTTCTTATGTAGGATTCCTCGTCAAGGAAAGCAGGCCTAAGGCATCCGAGTATGGATACACCATTAGATGGATAGTCCATTTTCCTGTCATAGTCCATACTGATGGCCTGCATGATTGCAAAGACAAGAGATCCCAAATCAACTACATAATCAATGCAATGCAAGACCAGTATGTATCAAATATAATGTGTGTATGTAATACTAAAGAGACTAGAGGGTTCAGTAACTGTTACAAAGTTCCAAGTTTATAGACAGAAACAAGTGAGAAAATTCTTTAAAGCATGTCATTTATATTAAATTTCTCATCATGCTATTGCATAGGATATAACCTTCGACAGGTGTTTGGCAAAGTAAATAGGATGAACCCCGTTGGAGGTGTCAGGCATTCCCCAATCTATCGGAATATCTCTAGCTTCAGAATCCATAATCTACTCATATTTCAAAGTAACAGATCATTAATAAGACAAGAGACTTGGCATGTTTTGCAAGAAAACTAAGCGACTACAACAACAGCTCCAACCTACCTCGAAATAATGGTCATCAAAAATAATTTGGTCAAGATTACCAATGTCTGAAATGTTATATTCCTCATGGTGCCGTGTGTTTTCGTATCGTGGGACATCCATTCCAAAAAAGGCTTTCTACAAAGTATGTGATGAAACTTCGATTAATAGGTGTTGGACGTTGTGCTTATACCAAACTAAGAAAAAATGTTATCAATTATGTACATAAACATGACATTCTACTTGATCAAAATGACACGCTCACCACTGGATTACTAGCTCCAGGATCTTCTAAGATGTTCTCATCATCAGGAATTTCGAAAAAGATATCTAAGTTGGAAAAAACAAAGAAGCTGGTGAGAAAGAAAGTAATTGATAGATAAAAAATATATTGAGCGATAAATATAAGACTAACCTCCATAATCATCAATGACATACTTAAATTCGGACCATGAATTATGATCGTGCGGTTCACAGTGAATAGCTCCAGGAAACACCAGCACAGCACTGCTGTTCGCCTACAAGTAAACAAGGAATACCATGTTCATGCATACTCAAAATAGCAAAATTCCACACTATTCTAGTTCATATGACACTCAAGAGTCATGTTTTATATTGTTTGCCGGCTACAAACCTCGACGGTAGTCCTTGCTACTTCAGAAGCAGAGAGTTTTGTCTCCTGGACTCTTTTGGACGGCTTCAAATCTTCTAGAGGATGATATCCATAGAAAGATGAATCAGGAACCGAATCCGAATAATCAGCAGCAACTGAAACTTTCGTGAGGCCGAGGTCATGTCCACCGGATGAAACATGAAATGCTGATCCGAAAAAAGGAATCTTGCATCTGGAGCTGAGTAGAGGAAACACATTACATGACAATCACAAAGATGATAAGATTTAAACTTCAATCAAATTGACTCCAAAAGCAAAACAATGGACTAACATACGTGGTTATAAACACATTAAAGATAAGTCAGGTAATCAAGGAGGTAGGAAAAATATAATACTCACACGTGTTTCATTATTGACTAATACCTTAAAACAGAGAGATTAGCAGAGCCACATCCATCAAACACACGATTTCTTGCATTGCCGTTTCTTTTGTAAGGTATGGATGAAGAGAACTCATCCGCGTAAGATTGATGACAATGAGATGCTCCTAATAAAGACATACCAAAAATTGAAATTTTCAGGGAAGAAGAAGCAAAAAGAAGAGACCTTTAAAGTTACTAATCAGATTTAAAGATCACGAATAATGAAATCAGCATTTAATTCCCCAGAAAACCAAAAACTATTTCAAAAAAAAAAAACTTGACACAGAAATAATTGTCTCAGGTCTCGTTAGATTCAAAGCAGAGAAAAAAATGAAATTAATTTCAGGCCAAACGCCAAAAAAGCATAAAGATTGAACAAAACAATTCGAAGACAGAGACAACCAAAATAACAAATTTCGATGGAGCTAAAGAAACCAATTCGATTAAAAATCAAAACGAGTCAACCAAAAAGAATTCTTCGAAATGCTTTCGCCATTAAAGTTAATTTAATTCGGCTCTTACAGGCATGCACTAACTTGAGATGAGTCAATGAACAATACAGAGGAAACAAAATGAAGAGAGATAGATCTCGAAAGAGTACCGAGGGAAAAAGAAGAAGCAGCCGCGATCACCATAATTTACACAAACAGAGGGACCGGATTGGGGAAGCTGAAATCTCAGCCGCCGGGAAATGTCAAAGAATCTGATCGTTGGGAATTTGCGTCTCCGCCGTCTTCGTTGCCGTCGCTGATCACGTTTTTGTTTGGTGTTCTTATGTTTACTGTCGCATCTATTAAATTTTGCAGAGACTTCAGAAACTTTCAGCTTTCTTTATTATTATTTTTTTGTTTTGTTCCTTTTTTTGTCGTCATGGCAATATTGATTTTTTTAATCTATTTGGGTCAGATCATGGGAATTGGGAAAGGTTGGTGTGGTTGGTATTTTTTGTTATGGTTTTGTGAAACTCTCAAATTTCGTTATCCTTTTTTCTATCTGAAAAAATGAAATGTATTGTAATGAATAAAAATGATGGATAAATGGATATTCTTTTGATTCTTTTTTTTAATGCTCATGAAAGAACAGTTACATCAGTTTAGTACGGTTTAGCTGGTTTTGTTCGGTATGCTCTGGTTTAGTGAACAACTAGATTTCGTTGGAGGTAATGCTACCAACAATTTCTGAGTCTCTATCTTTCTTTTTCCTTATATTTGTTTAATTTTCCTTCTTTTTCAGACGTCGGCGATACCATCTAGAAATGAAAATTCTTCCGAGGACTACTACACTTCAATCGGTTATTATGTGGGAAGCAAAATGATTATTTAGTTTTTAACAATCATATCATATTTGTATAGATTACTTGGTTCTTTTTTAATAATTTATGTTTTTTTTACCAAAAAAAAAATTATTCATATAAACCGTTTAACAATCCATAGTTTTTATATAAAAAAATTGAAAAAAAAAAAAAAAAACAAGCCTCAGTTTAATAGTTTGGTTTTTCAGATATTTTGTAGTTTTTTTTCGACTTTTCGTGATTTCTCTATTACACGTTACCAGCCCCGTCTCTGACCCATGGCAGAGTGGGCATTTTCCAAAGGCCCAAAATTTTAAGAGTCTTTTATTATATAATTTTGTTGTATGATTTGAAAAAAAAAACAAATTAATTAAATAAAAGGACCCATAATTAAAAATGTTTCTAACATAAAAAGCCCAAAAAAATAACTAACCTAGTTATAATTAGCAAAATGTTTCAAAAACTTAATTAATATAATAAAAAAACGTGTAAAATGGTAGAAAATAATCAAAAAACGTGTAAAAGAGCCCATATTTTTTTTTAAAAAAGTGTAAATTAGCCTGAAATTTTTTAATAATAGGGCCCAAAATTTTTTAAATTCTATTTTTTACATAAAAGGGCTCATATATTTTTATTTTTTTCAGATAATTCAAAATTTTATTTATAAAATAGTCCAAAACTTAACTAAAAATTCAAGAAAATCTCAAAAAAAAAATTCTATAACAAAAAGTCCAAAAATTTTGTTTGGTGCATTTTTATAAAAATAATTTATTAACGCTCATTTGCTATTCAAACAAAACATTCAAAAATTATTTACTTAAAAGTTTGACTAGAAAAAATAAATATGTGGTATACCACGAGTCAAATACTAGTATTTTATAAATATCGTATAAATAAAAGGCCCATTTTTGTATTTTGCCTAAGGTTGTACAAAAGCCAGAGACGGGGCTGCACGTTACCAAACCTAGACATTGAAATAATTGAGGAAAAAAAAAAAAAAAAGACATTGAAATAATTTTTTTATTGTTACGTGAGTGGAAAATGTGTTACAAAAAAAAGATGTATAATACCAAAATACATATGTATATAGCAAAACCCGAGTGAAGGTTGTGCCCCTCTCTTTCTCTCTTTACCCGATACAAATTTCCTAACAAAACTCAAATCGGTGGAGAACTATTTTTTGGAAAGAAAAGGCAAAATATGTGATGAACCCGAGGTATTAATCCAATAATATGACTGACCAAACCCAACTTACCTGAACCGACCAAAAAATTTACAAATCCAGGTCAAAATGATTGTGTTCTGTTCTTTGATATTCTTTTTTACTAGTGTGATAAGTAAAATGGGTAACCGTGATTGGCTCGAATCTTACCGGTAACCTCCACCATAAGGTTGCTGCTGCTGAGGGTTGTAACCGCCTTGACCCATCATTGGATTATAGGCACCGGTCATGCCTTGTGGTGGACCAGGAGGAGCCATGCCCATTCCTTGTTGTGGTTGCATCGGATAGCCTTGTCCATACCCGCCCATGTTCATGTTCATGCCCATTCCCATTGGATAGTTTTGGTTCATTCCCATGGGATGGTTCTGGTTCATTCCCATGGAAAGGTTTTGGTTCATGCCCATGGGATGGTTTTGGTTCATGCCCATGGGTTGGTGTTGGTAGCCCATGGGATGGTTTTGGTTCATACCTCCATAGCCACCAACATTCATGCCCGTGGGCATGCTTGAGCTTACCATTGAATTTGTTGGAGGTCTCATAGCACCTGCACCAGCGCGGCCTAAGCCAGTACCAGATCCCATGGCTTTACCCATGTTGATAGTTGATGTTACTTGTTGTGCGGTAGTTGGTTTTTCTAGCCGTTTCTCTTTCCTGTTGATTGCCTCGAAGTCAACTCCTATATCCGCCAATGGATTTGTTTTCGCTGCACAATGAAAAAAAAAAACGTTTGAAATTTTGTTAAAGCTTTATGAATTAAGAGACTGTATATAACAAGATCTTGCTTACGTCCAGAAATGTTGAAGTTAACCAGCCCTCTGCTTAATGTGTCAGCCCAGATTGTTGATTTTGGCTCAAACTTCTTCTGGTTTTGAGGAACAATCTCAATTGCTCCTGTTAAAGGTGTGAGAGATGGTTGAGATGCTGATGTCTCCAAGGAACTTAGTCCAGATGGTGAAAACATATCTCCAACAACATTGTTACTATTCCCGTGCGCCGCAACAGGTCCAGATTGAGTTCGCTGTGGTATATGGGAAGGGACACCATGAACTTGCTGTGTCACACCATAAGGTTGCTGTGTCATAAAATTTCCACCATCAAACTGACCAGCTGGTGCATTGGGCGTGGTAGGGTAAGGGGTTTGCGAGCTTGATGACGGGGCAGAACCAGGTTGGTGCATATCTCCAACGATATTGTTATTATTCCCGTACGCTGCAACAGGTCCAGATTGAGTTCGCTGTGGTATATGGGAAGGGGCAGCATGAACTTGCTGTGTCACACCATAAGGTTGCTGTGTCATAAAATTTCCACCTTCAAACTGACCAGCTGAATTGGATGTAGTAGCGTAAGGATTTTGCAAGCTTGCTGAGGTGGCAGAACCTGGTTGGTGAGGAAAATTCTCACTTGTTGGGTGTGAAGATACACCAGGAGTATATTGTGGAGGTTGAGAAGTAGCTGAACCTGCATAGCCTGGCTGTTGCGTGAAGCCCCCATTGTTGAATTGCATACCTTCATGATGATTTTTCGAATGGGAAACCATGTTATATTGTTGTGAAGCTTGACCAAACGGTGTTTGTCCTGGCATGTTTAGATCTGTAGGCGCCGCCTGATGATGATAGCTTTCATAGGAGTTACCATTGGGAGGAAATTGGGATCTTGGCATAGTGGAATCTGGTTGTGGAGACAGAGAAACTGGCGGTCCAGATGGTGGGAGAATGCCGGCAAGAATATCGATTTCGCTCTGCGATGTATCAAACTGCTCTTGAGGAAAGACAGATGAGTTCGGTGGAGCTTGAGAGCCAGGTTCAGAACTGGGAACAGCTGAAAATGCTTCCCCAAAACCAAAATTATGTTCATTGTCAGGATTTGAAGTTGGTGGTGTTGGCTGAAAAGGAACTCCAAAACTCTGATGATGGCTTGGGTCAGTGTCAGCAGAAGTGATGGCTTTGAAAGGAGAGTCACCAAATGGATCATCAAAAGGCTGCACAAAGGGCAAAAGATAAATAAATCATCCGGTTGGGTTTCTAGTTGAACCAGTAACATACCCATTAAAAAACTTCAAATGCCAGTATGAGAATACCTGAGTAGATGACTGAGAAGTAGAAAACGATGGAGCTGGACCAGTGTTTGCTTGTCCATTGGTTTCAACAGAAGTGGAATCAGATGTTACAATAGCCAAGGGATTTGGTGAAAATACATCTGAAAGAGAGCCAAGCAAATCCATTTCGGCATTAATTGGGGCAGGCGGAACAGGCGTAGAAACCACTGTTGGTGGGATAGGTGCAGGAGCCAAAGCACCAGCTGTAGGTGCACGTGCTGCTGAAAAAGACATGATATACAATGGCAACACTAGATCAGAATACACTCCTATACATTGAAATAAGGTGCTTTTAACATTTACTGAATTATCAAGAAAAGTGAAGTCTTATGCTGCTAAGGAGTGGTAACTAGAGAATTGCAAACATGGAAAACTCTGTACCTGAAACTGAACCTCGTGGATCAAATTCATCAAAAGCCTCAACTTGCTGAGGAGGTGATTCATTAACAAAATCAGCAGCTTTGTTGTCCACGCTGCTGTTTTCAGCAAGAGGAGAAGCAGCAGCTCCTGGAGGAGCAATTTGTGGGGTCTCTCCACCATCCCTTGAATCAAGAAATTTTAAATGATTCATCATCTGAATTCAAAACTGCTAAGAGAAAGGTACTTCTCAATTTGCAGTGAAGAGAATTGTCACCTTTCACTGTATACAGGGCTCCGTGATTCACTGACAGCTTCTTCATAACTAGGTGGAGCAGCTCCAATATTTTGTTCAGAGAACTTCCTCTCAAGCCCCCCTCTATCAAATCCCAAAAGTAAGAGATAAGTATTGGCATTTTTCCAATAATACTTAATACAATAAAAAAAAAAAAGGGACCCTTCCAAAATCAGTACACGTCTCTGGAAATTACCTCCCATCTTGAGAATGATCATCAGCTCGCGCACCACTGTCCCTACAGAACAAAGAGAAATGTTTCATCAAATTTCTGGTATGATGCTCAGGACGCAGGACGAGTTTTTTTTACATCTAAGCTATTACACATCCGAATATTGTTGATTGGTCACCTTAAAATTTCTTTAATTTGTCGGTCCAATTTAAAGAGGGGGATTATAAATTTAATCAACATACCGCGATGAGGATTGGCCATCATCCTCAATAGGCCGTTCCCTGTCCGAGCTCCTACCTCTTGATCCATTGTAATTATCAACACTTCTGCTCCTTCCACGGGATTCATCATCCCTGTTACCATCTCTTCCATATCGGTCTTCAGAGTCTCTAGAATAACGATCGCCGTCACGACTATTTCTATCATCATCTTTGTAACCATATTCTCTCTCTCTCCCATAACTACTTCGCCCTTCATCTCTGTCTCCATAGCGGCCTTCGTAATCATATTTGTCCCCATATCCTCCTGACGGCCTATGCATTGAGTTATGATATCTGTTGTACGAAAAAATGTCAGGTTTTGGGAAATATGTTCCCTCATGGAGTAAAAGCTACCTTAAGAAACAGATGCTCATAATGATGAAGAATTGCCTATTCATGACTTTACTAGGTAGCATAGATAGCAATTGTAAATCCTGTCTAGGCAGCAATTTTAATTAAACAAATGTGCATGAGATTAACCCATTGGGGAAACAAGAAGCAGACATACTTGTCTCTGTTAGCAGCAGCCTTCTCTCTGACCTCCGCTATTCTTTCTTTGTCATTAACCAAAGCCACAAGGCTCTGCGCCTTCTTCCTGACATTGCTACCTTGATCTTTACCGCTGGAATCAATATACTGAAAGCCAGATAATGTCTGACACATGGAAAAGAGATAAACTCCATCAGTAGGAAAATCAACAGCTGAGATACCAACAAAAAATCTCGTGTTGAATATATCCAATATAAATTACTACTATGTAGTCATTACCGTAATTTGATATGCATGTTCTCTAATCTCTTCTATGACACGTTCTGATCCATGGCCTACCATGTACTCCAAGACTGTCAATGCCTGGAGAGTAGAGAAGAGATAATCCAGCAGAAATTAGTTTTATTAACTGCCACAGCACTATAAGCATATCAAAAACAAGCTAGGCCTTCTTATTTCTTTTACCTTATAGACATGCCGCCAATTTTTTCCAGAGTCACTAAGACGTTTCCATAATACTCCCATGGTCAGCTGGTATTCATGGCTGCATGAGAAAGAAAAAAAGATTTCATCCATAAGATCATATTGTGGACAAGGAGACGTGATAAAGGCATTTGTAATTACTAGTTTCTCGAAGCATGAGCAATGTCCGCAAGAAGTGATCCATGCGGACCCCAGGACTCATTGCTGGTAGCATCTAGAACCTGAACAAGAAACAAAAGTGCAGAAATGAGAGGCAAACAAAGTGAAAAGCATATATGGAAAATCTCCTATAAATTCCATAATATAAGCCGTCAAGGAGTGTGTCAACCTTCACAAAACTTGCTAGAAGATTGATTGAATCAATCATGACAGACTAAAAAACAGTATCTTAATCAAGGCATCAGAAACGTTTCAAAAGAAACAAAAATAGAGAAAAGCAAACAGCATGCTTCACCTTCTGTTCTATTCCAGGTACTTTAAGCACTTTCTTGTTGACCCCTCTCTTGCTGCAAGCAATGGATGAAAAGATAATATAAGCATTTTTTTTCAAATGAAAAATAAATAATCCACACATGGATTGACAAGGTAATTCATTTAGTTCTAGGTACTCCAATCCTTACAGGTCTCTGACAGTTTGACCAAATGCTTTCTTCATATTCAAAGATGAGACACTGCTTTTTATAGGAGAAGCGCTAACTACACTTTATAGCCTGTTCAGAATGCAAAGAGCTTTCAGTGTCAATTGTCTCAAACAAACCAGCAATAACCAAAAATGGTATGACAAAGAGCCAACAAAACATAATTTTGTAGTTTGAAACTGGATAGAATAAAAAAATGAAGAAGAAGAACCCACAATAAATCAGTAAAATCTCACATTCCAATGTAAAACCAGGAAGTATAAATGAAGTTTAATACAACATGAACCAAATTAAGCAACCATAATATAAACGGACATCCGACCACCGAAAAAAATCATTTAAAAGATCAAAATCATCGAATCAAACAGCAATCACATATGAATCAGCACAATGACGTGAATGTGATCCATTTTATGTTCAGAATTCAACCTAATAAACATTATCTAGGCTATAGAAAGATCCACAGCGCAAGAAAACCTCCCATAAAGAAAGTTTGATACAACATGAACCAAATTAAGTAACCTCATACATGGCATTACCATAAGACAAAATCCTGTAAAAGATCAAATCATCGAATCACATGTAAAATCAGCAATGTATCGTGAGTGTGATCCTTATTTGTTCAGATTCAACCTAATATAACATAATCTAGGCTATAGAAAGATCCAGTGCGCCAACAAATATCCAATTGATCACCCACCGACAAATCATCAATAAAGTCAAAAGCAAATTTCTGGGTGCGAACACACATTTCGGACTCAATGCGAAGAACGACATTCACATTGCAGCTTCTAAACATGTTTAAAATTGATTGCGTGATTCGAAATTACGACTTTCAAAACGATTTGCAATCGATCAAACAAACAATCCCAACCAAACGATAAAACGCCAAATTCAGCTGAAAATATTCAAAAGGAAACACAGATCTAAAAGGAAATCAAAAACAAAAACACAATAATCGCAAACATGAATCTGATCCCACGACGAACAGCAAAATCAATCAAACCTGCTGGAAAAGGAAAATGGATCACGGATCTGTGAGGCAGAGCTGGAGAGAGATGTGGGGGGAGAGGAAGAAACGGGAAGGAAGAAGAGAGACGAAATCTATGGAAGCTTGTGCGATGGTTTCCGAAATTCTGCGTGTGGCTTCTCTTACTTTTGTTTTTATTTTTCGTTAAGTTTGTGTGTAGAACCTGGGTCCTCGGGGTTAGAGACGATTCAAAGCAGCCAAAATTCGGGAAGGAGAGATTAATTGAATAAAAAATAAAGACAGCGCATTTAACACGCAGATAATTCAGGGATTTAATCTCTCCTTCATCCCTTTTTTTTGCCACAGTTGGTTTAGTGAATTAGTAATTTCTTGGATTAAGACGAATGTATTAGTATATTTGTTCATTGAATTGTATAAAGTTTTCAACAATTATACATGCACTTTTCTAAATTAATTGTAACTTCATTACTAATTAAGATAGTTTTTTGGTTAATCTAACATTTCGATATATTCTGTGAACTTATATAGTCATGTTTGGTAAAACTAAGTTTTTTTTGGCGATTTATTAGATGCTTGTCTTGATATAAACGAAATTTAAAAAGTTTTGTTGTAGATTTTCGGAAAAACGGTCTATTTCCCCCTGAGAAGTATCGTATCACGCCAGATAGAGCCCATTCTTTGATCTCGGTCTATATGTCCATGAAACAGAAGTTAAACACTTATTTTCCCCCGAAATGGAAGTTCAATATCTTAATCTCCCCGATTCGTGGTTACGTCGGTTTGATGTGTAAACCCGAGACGAAACCATGTATGGGTCGTAACCAAACCAAAAAACAGACCGGTTTCCTTATTATAACCCGACGTCCCTACCCATTGTCGTAACCAAACTCAAAATCCCCAATTCCCAAATTCAAAATCCCCAAATTCAAAAACTGATTAACTGAACATTATATTACCAAATTAAAATCTAAAGCTTTGATTTTGTGATTCTGGATTTTGATCACATTCGATTGCTTCATTTTTGTTTTGAGAAAGTCAGAGTATCAAAGAAAATTGGAGAAGATTTTTTGTGTTATTTACCAACAATGGGAACACGATACATTGTGAACAAAAAAAAAGGAACACGATACATATATAGCAGAA